TTTGGAGAACTATTTATAAACCTTCAAAACTATAAGGACTTGACATTTTCTTACTTATATTTGTACTACATTTACTATTAAATAGAAACGACTGAAATCTATGATCTACTTTAAGGTGTACTTCCAAAATAGATTGATGGATGGAGAGAGGAGTGGATAGTTATTTGATAAAACAGATGTTGTAAAATGATAGTAGTAGGGTGTATGGTTGTTCACTATATAATTCTTTCAACTTGGCTACATGTGTAAAAATTTTATAGTAAAATATTGAATGAAATTTCTCTGAAATACAAAATTTGAAGTTGGACCCTGCTGTGCAGATTCCAAAGAGCATGTTACCTTCTCTTTTTGCTGCTAATAAATATATCTTGAGAACAGTATCTTTGAGTGAGATGAGAATCACATTTAAATTATGTTAATTTAGATTACATATTCTCATCAAAAGAAACACATGTGGGAGTTTTTTCAATCTAGAAAATGCAGAATGTTAAATTGCTTACTTCTATATTTTTTTCCTTTGGAAACTTTCATTTATTGCCTCATTGTTAATTATGTACAATTATTGATTTTAGTGCACTCACTCTTGAGGATGAGAAAAGAATGCTGGCATATTTGATTAATGGATTTATAAAAATGGTACGTATTGGGGAAGAAGTTTCAGTGCACTTGGAAGTGTGATGTAATTGTTTATCCTTACTCTGGTGAAAGCAGTTAACATTATGTTCCCTGGTGCTTTTCATTTTTATTAAGATGAAATTAGAAAACATCCCACATTAGCCAGCACTCCCCTGGGGACAAGGACAGCCAAGACAAACTGGCTTAAGGAAAAAATGAAAACAAGAGATTGAGAGGGGGACTTACTGGCTGATGTGACATCAGGGCCAGGGATGGCCCTCTCCGAAGGAGCAGCTGGACCCGGGGTCTCCGTGGTGTCATCAGGACCTGCCGTGTGTGTCTCTTTGGCTCGTGGCGCTTCTCTCTTGGCATCTTTCCCAGGCACGCTTGCTCCCCACGAGAGCTCAGGGTTTCCATTCCTTCCAGCTCTGCAGTCCAACAGGAAAGGCTCCAGCAGAAGTCCTGGGGCTGAGTCTCTTTGGATTAATTTGGGTCACCAGCTCCTCCCCTGAGCATATTGCTGCTGTGAGAAAGAAGGAACACACTGGCCAGCCAGGCCAGGGAGACAGGCATACCTGGGCCACCGAGTCCCGTGACAGGAGGGGAAAAAGGGGCTTCCTGAAGCACCTGATGTGCTGCTCATCAGATGCTGGTGAAAACGATCAGGGGCGGAAGCAAAATGCCACTCCCCATTCGTCTCAGTTTCCCAGTGCTGCCTAACAACTCACCCCAAAACTTAGTGGCTTAAAATAACAGTGTTTTATTCATTCTTAAGATTCTGTGGATTGGCTGGATAACCAGGCTGCTCCATGTGATGTCAGGTGGGGCAGGACAGGGGCTGGAGGACAGCTTTGAGCATGCGTCTGGGGTCCTGGTGCTGGCAGTTGGCTGGAATGGCCCCCTTCTTGGCCATATGACCTCTTTCTCTCTGCTGTCCACTTGTCGCCATGAGCTCTCGCGGGTATGTTGTCAGGGAAGAATCAGAAGCTGCAGGGCCTTTTGAGGCTCAGAAGTCACACGGTGACCTTTGCTGCTTCCTGCTGCATTCTGTTGGTTAAAGCAAGTCCTGGGACCAGCCCCTTGGTGGGGAAGAAAGGTAGATTTCACCCCCCGACGGGAGGAGTCCATGAGGACATTGCGAAGGGACAAGCAGAGGGGTTGTGCAGCCTTCTTTGGGAATGACCATTCCCTCCCAGGCAGAACACCCTTTCCTTAATTCTCAGTGCCCAGAGCTGAGCTACCACTGCTGCCAGTATCCACTTTGGAATAGAAATGTCAAACAAAAACTGCCTGAGATTAAAATAACTAGATCATTTTGAAAATCACCTTGAAAATGTGACTCATTCAACAACAGGGGTCGATGTAACTACCCAGTTGGCCTCTGTGGGTAAAATACTGATTTTGATGAAAATTCAGGATTAGCCTTTTAACTGCCACGTTAGGAAGTGTACTTACGACGGTTACCAGGGACCCCTCCTGTTCCCTTGATTTATATGCTGATCATGTGGTGTTTATCCTTTTACGGGTTTGTCTGCAAGCCACCAAGTTATAATGGAAATGAGATATGAAACCTGATAGCTGTAATGGAAATAGCAATGTTAAACCTCCTCTGGACAGAAATGATTGCTGTAGCAGTTAAGTTTGTCCCACTAACCAGCTGCTCATAAATTTGAACAAATAAGAGAAGTGGGGATTTTCAGTAGTGGTGAAACCTCCATCGCTGGCCCCAGCAGCCACCAGGGAGCTGCTGAGGTTGGAGTCCCCATCAGGAAGCAGAAAGATTGGCCCTTATTAGGGAACCCCTCTGACAAATGGCTCCCAAATTAACCAAATTTATGTTCTGTGAAAAGGCCACAGCTGAGAAACAAAATTCCATTATTTCCCTTCCGGTGGTTCCCTCCTAGCCTGGGAAATCCTGTTAACATTTTGAGATTCTGTTTTATACCGTTTGGTCTTTTTCTGTTCTACTCCAATACCCAGGTCATGAAGAGGAGCTGGTAACGGTACCATTTCCGCCCTATTCTGGGTGAAGTAACGTAAAGTCTACTTAGAGTATATTCCATTGCACGGATGTGTGTTGTTTGCTTACATACCCTCTACCCATTCATATCCGTGGAATTTTTGGTGACTTGCCATCACAGCACCTTCCCTGCCCCCACAATGCTCAGGAAAAACCTTTCCAACGGTGTGCTCACAGTTGCCTAGAGATAACATTGTTGGCATCTCTCTTCTTGGTTCTAGGTGTCCTTTGGCCGTGATTTTGAACAACAGCTGAGTTTTTATGTTGAGGCCAGGTCGATGTTTTGCAATCTGGAACCTGTTCTTGTGCAGTTGATTCACGTAAGGATTTTCATTCATTCATTTGTTCTCTCAGTACATATTTATGGATCATTGATATGCTGTACACCAGTTTGAATCTGGGATTCTCCTGGCTCCATACTGCTTCTGTTCCCAAGATATGAAAGGTGTTTTCCCAAAGGTTAATAAAATCTTCAACTTTGCTTAAGCTTTTGAGCGGTTTTGTTGACCCCTTTTCCTCTGAAATTTGCATATTCTCATTCCTGCATGCCAACAGCAAAGAGTTGTGAGTTGCTCTACGTATTTAGTTATAGAAATACTAACCTAGTAAGAGCTCCTTGTCATTTGACCAGATCCTCAGCTTTCTTGGATCATAGTGCCTTTCAGTAACTTTTTCTGGTGCCCTTAGGCCAAAAGGAAGAAATAACAGTTCTGTTTATTAAGAAGTTAGGCTCAAACAACTTAAGAATTTATGCCCGAACAACTTGACAGCCCCCTAAAACACCATACCTAAATCGAGAGAAAAATAGTGTATTTTCATTTCATTCTTAAATAACCGTAATTACTTGCTATTGAAGTACACATACCTATTGGGCATTGCACAACTTCTCAAACCTTGGACTCAGATTGGACACCACTACCTTATTTCCTGTTCTAGATAGATTTTTTTTCTCCCACATAGATTTTTGCACAGTACTTTTTTTTTTTTATCATAACAGCTGCTAAAAACCCAATTTTGCAAAGATATGACATCACTGCAAGGAATGTACTGTGGCCTATGAGCTCTCACACGAGTGCTTTGCCTAGTGTTCAATCACTGAGCCTTGCTGTGGTTGTCTGAAAAATGTGCCCTGGGATTTTTGCCATAACACCCTGGGGTGCGATAGTACACAGTTTGGGAATCCAGACTTTTTATATTTGTGGAAAGACTCCTGAAGGCTCTTGAATTGCTTCATTGTAAGTTCAAGGAAACAGCCTTTTTATACATATCTCTTTGCAAGTTACCAGGTTTTATAGCATTACAAAACTTAAGACCTAAAGGTAG